GAGAAGACGTCCTCACACACACCACACTCCAGCACCTGTAGGTGAGAAAACATGTATTGATTAACTAACAGACAACCTTGTCTTTGACAGTCACTGCTGCAGATAAAGTCAGAGGAAAGATATATCGGGAAGTTGGCACTGATTTTACAATGTATCCCCTATGTGCATGCAGATTGATGCACAACAAGGACTTAAAGAGAATACAGGAGTCATATAGATTAAGAGTCTCTGAATGTGTGTGAGATTCAGTCTGCTCCACTCATAGCATGTAAGGTGGTTAACCCTCCTGATTTATAACTGTGAACTTTGATAAATGCTATTTTGACATCTGCTAAGAGCAATTTTGAGAGGGGCAGGTTTTAACTTGCATGCAGAGATCAAACAACTTTTTTGACAACCGGCCAAATGACTTATTTTGCATCTTTTTAATTGAGCAAATCATGGGCCGTGGGAAGTAGGGGTGCTGAGGGTGCTGCAGCACCCCCTGGTGGAGGACAGGGGATCTGCACTTCCACAAGATTAAATGCAAATATAATACAAAAAAACCGAATTTTCAGCCTTGATGTAACAACATTCATAATTAAGTAAAGATAACACCCTTTTCACCCCGGTTACATTTTCCATTTGCCATGTACGATGGGCGCTGTAAGTGATGAAAGTGGGGAATTTTGGCTTATCGGGCACCCGCAGCTCACAGCCAAAGTGAGAGAGAGAGATAGATAGATAGATAGATATAGAGGGGGGGTGCACCGATACCGGCGGGTATTGTTGTTAGCTTCTGCTGCGCTAACGGATATAAGAAGCTGTTTCTACAATAATGTGGAGAGAGAGTTCTGTCCTGTCAGACTGAGAGGCAAAGTGAGGTAAAGGACTCTGAGGGTTTAGATAGTTCACTTTAGTCTAAGTTATCTCAGTGAATCTCAAACGTTTTGATCACAATTTATGTAAACAAATACTTCAAAGGGACACCTTTATAATTATTAGGACAAATAAAAACAGGTTTGAAATCATTCCAATGTATAATATAGGACAGTAAACCAAAAATATCATTTAAAACTGGAGAGATTTAAAAATATGCATAAATAAATAAATGTTAACTGGTAAAATTAGATATGAATGAACAACACAAATAAAATAAGTTACATTTATTTGTTATTGGCTATGGTAGGTTATTGGAAATGTTCACATATTTGATGAATAAAATGCAAACCGATCTTTCTCATATGGGTGTTTAGAGTTGTACCCCCCCCCTAAGATCAGTCTCTAGTAATTGGGCGCTCAAAGTGCACCAGACTGAAGCATTTTACTTTAAAATGTTAAAAAAAATCTTCCCGGGGGGGCACACCCGGACCCCCCTAGAGGATGTGAAGTCCACCCCCCCAATTAAAACATGTTATAATACTAAATACATTTGAAGCCTTTTATATAAGCTGTCCACCATGTCAATATGTTTCTCTTTTTGTAGTGTATTGGTCTTTTGTAGAGGTTTTTCATTGCCAGCTAAAATCTTGCCTATAGGGCAGCAAATTGGTCAGAACCAGCCCTGGTGTCATCCCCACAGCACCCCCCATTTGAAACATGTTCCCACGGCTATGACCGCAGTACTTTTCCTACAAAGGTTCATGAGAACTTAGTTCATCAGAACTCTCTAGTTCTGATGAACTAAGTACAGATCGCGTTCACACCAGAATAAGTCCCTGAGGGAGGATTAGGCAAATGAAGCCGCTGTCGTCACTTCTTCTTCTTCTGCTTTGGGTTTACTGGAGCACCGCAAACAACTTCACGGCGTATACTGCCACCCGGAGTCCCCGGCCGGAAGTCCCCAGAGTTGGGGAAGGCTTCAGTAGAAGCTTTTTTTTTATTTTTTTTTTGTTGTTGTTACTGAGGTTTCTTCGCCTTGGTTTTATCGATAGTTGCTTTTGGTTAGTGGTGGACAAGTAGGACGATCTCTCGTCCAATGGAGTGGTCAGATCTCTTTTTCCAGATGACTATCCCGTGTCTTTACGTCTTGTGCTGGTGGCAGTGAGGGTTTTTTCATAATAACCTCTTTCGGCGGTTATTTAATAATAGGAATCGTAATCGATTACCGTATCGGTCGCCGTTTTCGTCTCTCCTGATTGAATAGTTGTGTTTCTTTTGTACCTCACCCCTCTATCCTCAAGCCGCAAGGCCTCTCAATGANTTATCTGGCACTGGAGTGTGAACATGACCAGGGTTTTATGGAGGAGTTGATTAGATGAGTACAGGTGCTCCTCATTGTGAACCAGCTGAGCCTTCTAACGATCACCACACTGCAGGGCCGTGGGAAGTAGGGGTGCTGAGGGTGCTGCAGCACCCCCTGGTGGAGGACAGGGGATCTGCACTTCCACAAGATTAAATGCAAATATAATACCAAAAAAAACGAATTTTCAGCCTTGATGTAACAACATTCATAATTAAGTAAAGATAACACCCTTTTCACCCCGGTTACATTTTCCATTTGCCCTGTACGATGGGCGCTGTAAGTGATGAAAGTGGGGAATGTTGGCTTATCAGGCGCCCGCAGCCCACAGCCAAAGTGAGAGAGAAAGAGAGAGAGATAGAGAGATAGATAGAGAGGGGGGGTGCACCGGTACCGGCGGGGATTGTTGTTAGCTTCTGCTGCGCTAACGGATATAAGAAGCTGTTTCTACAATAATGTGGAGGGAGAGCTCTCCTGTCAGACTGAGAGGCTCAGTGAGGTAAAGGACTCTGAGGGTTTAGATAGTTCACTTTAGTCTAAGTTATCTCAGTGAGTCTCAAACGTTTTGATCACAATTTATGTAAGCAAATATTTCAAAGGGACACCTTTATAATTATTAGGATAAATAAAAACAGGTTTGAAATCATTCCAATGTATACTATAGGACAGTAAACCAAAAATATTGTTTAAAACTGGAGAGATTTAAAAATATGGATAAATAAATAAATGTTAATAGGTTATTGGTTATGTTCAAATACAAACCGATCTTTTTCACATGGGTGTTTAGAGTTGTATCCCCTAGATCAGTCTCTAGTAATTGGGCACTCAAAGTGCACCAGATTGAAGTATTTTACTTTAAAATGTTAAAAAA